CCGCTCTCCTGACCCTTTCCTCACACCACCCGGTGTTCTGCGGGCTCTCGTCTGCCCCGCGAAACTTAGATTGTATATGGAAGCATTGGGATCTAGGAGGTGCTCAGGTTTCCTGCTTGGTTTGGTGGTGTGTGAAGAGTTGGCATCCGCGCATCCCTTTGGGAATGTACTAAATTAATCTTGAAAGTCAAGCTTTTTGCTCTCTGCTATTACACATGCTAGGCGCTGGGAGGCAATGAGCGACTGAGTACAAAGCCTATTGCTGACCTAATGGCAGAGCCACATCTGGTTAAATTAATGGCAAAAGCGCCATGGGGGAAGTTAGACACGAAGGGCTTGGACCTCCTTTCCCCAAGCGTCGTCCAGCTTTGGACTTACTGTGAGGTTGAGCTATGGAAGACAAAGCCCTGAATTTGGGGTTGGGGCAGGACTAGACAATTCAGGGGGCCTGGTTCGAGTCCACCTACCAGCTGTGTAGACATGGATTCGTCCTTTCCTCCTCTGGGCCTGCAAAAGGAGGGGCAGTTAGTTCCTAACATCCTTTTTTCCCCATCGCAGAGCAATGGTTCTCAATGCCAGGAGAGCCAACATCCACTTTGCAATGTCTCCTCTATCCAGAAATGAAGAAATGAATTTCATAGATGATATGACTAATCTACATACATCATTTAAAAATGCAAATAGGCCTGGCATACCAAATGCATCATGTCTGTTAACCCAGCATTTTAGGAGGCTGAGGCAGAAAGATTGCTTGAGCCCAGGAGTTTGAGACCAGCCTAGGCAACATAGTGAGACCTTGTCTCTACAAAAATAAAAATCAAAAAATTAGCCAGATGTAGTGGTGCCTGCCTGTAGTCCTAGCTACTGGGGAGGCTGAGGTAGGAGGATTGCTTGAGCCCAGGAGGTCCAGGCTGCAACGAGCTGTGATCAAGCCATGCATGGGTATGAGAGTGAGATCCTGTCTCAAAAAACCAAACCAAACAACAACAAAACCAAGGAAAGCTGACACAATTAAAAAACAAAAAAAAAGGATAAGTTATAATAAAACATGATGTCTTTCAATATATAAACACTCAGGCAAGACTTACCAGAAGGCATAAATGAAATAGGCAGATTGCTTGCACCTACACATAATATATATTTGAATTTAAGAGAAATAGAAGACGAGCCATTCTATGCAAAAACAAAAATCACACACATGCAAGAAAATGAAAGAGTGGCAGGAAGTGAACACTAGAAATAAAAACTGCTAGGTGAGTAATAACAGATCAGATGTACTTGCATATGATAAGAGAGGGAAAGCATCTTAATTGAGATAGGGATGACACAGCAGGGCAAATTAGAGAGCACAAGGTGGAGATAATATAGGAGTATGACGCGCATGCAAAGGAACTGGGTCTTATGTATGTGTGTATTGTCAAAATAGCTCCCATGGAGTGGGATCGCCATGGAGTACCACAACACATCGACCTCTGTCTTGAAACATATCAGTGTTGAGGTAAAATTCAGTCTCTGGGATCTTAAAAGGCCTTAGAGATCATATATTTCCAGTGGGCAATGGGGGATAGAGGATAGATTGGGAAGAGAAAAGAAGATAAAAATGGTTTAGAGCAATTGCATGTGGACACCTGGGACAGTGTTGTAAGACAGGGCACAACATTTCCACACGTAATTGTGACAACGTAAGTGTTCATCCTTGGGCTGCAAAAAACTTTAAACATATAAAGGATGGCAATAATATGAAATAAACTCTAAAAACTTTTATTAAGGAGACACAGTGAGATCTCCTGCATCTCAAGTGTCTCTGATTTCATGTTTGGTTCTCTCACATCTCTTCTGTTAAATATTTTCAGTCAATTTCTTTGCTTATTCAGTATCGCTTACTGATTGGAACTGTTTTCTTTTTTTCTTTTTCTTTTTTTTTTTTTTTTTTGAGACAGTCTCACTTTGTCACCCAGGCTGGAGTCGATCTCTGCTCACTGCAAGCTCTGCCTCCCGGGTTCACACCATTCCCCTGCCTCAGCCTCCCGAGTAGCTGGGACTACAGGCGCCCACCACCACTCCCAGCTAATTTTTTGTATTTTTAGTAGAGACGGGGTGTCACCGTGTTAGCCAGGATGGTCTCAATCTCCTGACCTCGTGATCGCCTGCCTTGGCCTCCCAAAGTGCTGGGATTAAAGGCGTGAGCCACCGCGCCCGGCCAGAACTGTTTTCAATCAAATACATAGTAGTAGAAATCTTATAATCCTTTGGGCAGACAAGGCATGGAGTAGATTATTCAATAATTTTGAGACAATGTCTTTTATTCCTTTTAAGCTTCTGCTCCATAATAACCATCTCCTAACTTTCTGAGTTTTCATGAAACTTATTTTTAAAAGCTTACAAAACCTTTTGGTATTACTGTCAATTAGAGCATGACCAACTTTTACTGGTAGTGGGTTTAGTTCAGCTGTACATTCGAAAGTTGTGCAGGATATGGGACAATTCTTGGTTTTGGAAATCTGTCCTGTGCATTGCAGTCACTAAATGCCAGGAAGAGTTTTGCACCCTTAGGATTGAGACAACCGAATGCCCCAAGGGGCCGGAATCATCCCCGTTGAAATCACTGGTAGGTTAAGAGCTTCATCCTAGCTTCATGAAGCCTTGGGCATTTTATTTATCCTTTCTGTGCCTCGGCTTCTTGGATAATTAGAGTACCTATGACTGACATAGGGGATGAGGACTCGTGAGTAAATGCATGTGAAGTGCGTAGAACCAGGTACCTGGCACACAGTAAGCACTTAATGAACCATTGTTATTGCTATTACTGTATAGTTATAATAATTGCTATTGTTATTAACATTATTGGTATGCTGTTAATATGCTTTATATGAAACACTTCTACTGTCATCTCAAATTGTGCTAAACCACTCCCACAGGCGTATAAAATAGCAGCTGGGGATGCCCCTCCCTGGCCCCACCCCCAGCCATGGAACCCACCTGTGAACTCAGGAGAATTAAACACTCATGATACTGGGCCCTCCTGGCCTGATTCTCTGGGTACTGGAGCTGAGCCCAGAGGGGCTGTCCACAGTTCACCCTTCTGGAGAGGGACCTTCATAGGGACGTTCCCGGGAAGGGGTATGCAGGCCCTGGAAGGCTGGTGCTAGTCCTCGACCCATGGCAGTCTCATGACCCTGCCATGATGAGAAAGGGGTGGGGTAGTGCAGTTACTCCCTGGGCTGGAGGCGTAGAACTGGCAGGGGAGGGACACCTCAGAGACAGCACAGGCCCTGGTGATGTCTTCCAGCAAAGGCTATAGAGCTAGTAAAGAAGGGGTCCTGGAAAACCTTCTCCCTCTTCCCACATCAGGCCCCTGCAGGTGGCCAGGGAGCCTTTGCAACATCACCACTTCCACTTCCTCACATTTGGAAATGAATTTGAGTTTTCAAAGCGATTTTCATCCATTTTCTCATTTGCCTTTCTCGAAAGTTCCATAAGATGGTGGTTAACATACCCATTTTCCAGACAAGGAAACTGAGACTCAAGAATTTAATGACTTGTCTAAATCTTCATGCAGCTAGCAAGGAGCATGTTGCTAGGGGCAGGAGTTGAGGATGACATGCCACCTTCTCTCATTGATCACAGTAACGAGGTGAGGCTCAGGATGAGGAGGGGGCCGTGGTGTGGCCCCAGTTCCCTGGCAGCAGCAGGATCTGAGGCTTGGCTGCCTGCCTGACCCTGTCGTGCCTCTCTTCAAGAATAAATAAATGATCACACAGTTACACAGCACTGCTCCTTAAAGGGCATTCTGCTAGTTGCATTTTCATTTACATTTATCAGCTACTGCCCCCTTTTTACAAATCCCAACCTGGCTTGATCTGGGTAGGGGGTGGAGCAGGCACCAGCTGGCATCATCTCTTGAGAGGAGGAGCCAGCCCTTGTCGGTGGATAAAGTGATGCCCTATGGTGCTCTGTGGTCTCACATTCCACCTCCTCCCCAAGCCCTTGCCATTGGCTCTGGCTCAGATGGAGGCTGCAGCTAAAGGCTCAGCCCCCCGGAAAGTAAGTTCTCCAATATACACCCCCCTACCCCAGCCTCTGATGCAGGCCCTCCCCCAGAGCCTACATCTGGTCACAACTCTCCTGGGTTCACAAAGGACATCATCCTGGGGATGTGACAACATCCAAAATAGAGTCAAATTTAAAAAACGACCACCCCTGTACTAGCCCTTAGAAATGGGAACAGGTGTCCGGAATTCAGCTTCAGCCATGAAAGCCAAGTCGATGCAAGATTAGGAATTAGGAAGCTTGCTTTCTCATCTCTCTTTCTCGCTTTTTCTTGAGCCATCCCTCTCTTGGACAACGTGCAGAAGCCCAGCTGAGCCTGCCAGTCTCCCGGGTGCACCTCTTCTCTTCCACTACCCACCCCACAAAATTTACCAGGCTTCTTGACTCTTGTTTCCCACAGTAAGATTCCAAATTGAGAAGCACCGGTAGAGCCCTTCACACAGAGTGTCAATACCTGATAACCACTAAACACTTTGGTTTCTCTTGAAATAAACCAAAGGGATGGAGGTAGGATGAGAATTGGGGTGGCGTCATACCTCCCACCAAATTATGCACCTTCTCGTAAAGCAGCAATATAGCGCATTGTGTAGTAATCAAGAAAGCCTGGGAATTCATTTCCTTCTCCTGCTGTCCTATCCTTTGTCTGAGTCAAACCAAGGGAAGGTGCCAGGGCCTGAAGCATCTGATACTCCCATTATACAGAACCTTGGGACAAACCCTGATCTGGGGTCACCTGAACTGAAATGATGCTGCTGGTGTTGGCAGCATATCCTTGCTTCCCCAGTTCCTGGGGATAGAGGCCGAAAAGGGCAGGCTGAGGCACAGGGGAGGAAGGGAGCATATGTTTTGCACCCAGCTTATCCCCAAGCCCCCATTCCCCTTTCCTACCAACCCCACAAGCCCACAAGCACCACGAGGGCAGACACAGAGTAGGAGACACACACCACATGTACAAAACATTCATTTTATTTCCTGTATTGAGTTTATACAAACTTGCAAGATACAAATGCAGAACTCACTGGAATTCTTCGGTACCTAAATCTAAAAAGAATGCTGCTGAAAGGAGGAAGCAAATTCTCACCTGTTTCAGTCAGGCCGTCCCCTCCTCCTGGGGAGGGGGCTCATTGGCTAGAAAGATGCTAAGGGGATGCTACAGCTGGTTGCCCCTGACAGAGATTCCATCTATCTAACCTTCACCCTTCTTCTAAGGTCACTTTTATACTAAATAAAGACACTGAGATCATAAATTTCCTTGTATGGTTTATTGTCTAATACTAGCAAATCAAATTGGCCCCAATATGTGCATAAATAGATATATATGTGTGTGTGTATATATATGTGTGTGTGTGTATATAATATTTTTTCTTAGTTTTAAGAGCTGCCAGGTAGAGGGTGCCTAAAGGAGAAAGGAACTGGTTCCCTCTTGCCATAGCCAGCCCTGCCCAAAAACATGCCTCTCCCAAAGGTCGGAGAGCAAGTGTGCCACTTGCGATCTCAGAAAATCTTCAAAGTGACAGTAGCAGTATTTGATTGCAGCCTCTTGGTTATTGATCATGGAGGTAATGTGCTCGTTGAGAAGGCCCTGGATGAATAATCAGAGCGTCCCCAGGTGGGTCACTTAGCCCTGGACCCCCACCTGCGCTCTGTTCATTCAGAGCAGGATGTTCTAGGCTGGCGGCAGGGTGTCAGTAAACGCCCCAGTTGGGAGGCCAGGCTTCAAACGCTGGCCAGGAGCTCGGCTCTAGATTCCCAAGCCCTTGATTTCAGATCTAGACAAAGACTTCCATCCTGCCCAAATCCTTGCAAGGCCAGAGACCCTTTCCCCAATTTGATGGTTGACAAAGGCTGAGCAGTTTGGAAGGCTGAGCTGGCTTCGTTCGGTGCCCCCGTGGCAGCCTGCTGGGGTAAAGTCCTGGGGGTTTCTTGGGTGAGGTTGAGATGTCACCTTGTCTGTAGGACCCTCCTTGGCTCATAGGCTGATTTCGCAGTCTGGATGCCAGACTGAGGTACCATGCCTTTGGTACAGACCCCAGAGAGAAAGGTTGCAGAGGGGGGATGTCATAGATGTGACCCAGACCAGAGAGGGATCGAGTGAATAGGAGTGTGACAAGCCCAAGGAACTTGCACGTGTCTGTACTAAAGGGCCAGGGATGGCCCAGAGGATCCCAAGCCGCCTCCTCTGGGCTTCACACCATCTCGTAGACTGACATCCTTAGCGCTGTTTGGCATAGGCTGCCATTACACTGTCTGCTCTTTCCAGCAGGCTGATGAAGAGGGGTAGTCTAGCAGCCCACTTGGGGTGCATGCCTGCATGGGTCTCCTTTGTGCATACAACTGCAAACAGTTCCTTCCAGAGGATTCACACCTGACAACTGCAGAGGGTCATCAGGAGTGGACAGTGTAATAAAATCCTTAGGCCAGGACTTCCAAGGGAATGCCCTGCTCCCGGCAAGATGCTCTCTGGGTGAGGTCTGGGGACCAGCCCTTTCCTGACTGGGGAATAGGATGGAAGGAAGCCACTGTGGCAGAGGGAAGGGCACAGGGTTGGGACCTAAAGGCAGTTACCCCATCTCCTCACCTCATTTGCCAATTCCATTCAGACATTGCACATTTTGAAAATAGATTTGCTTTTTTTAAACAAAAGCATAAAATAGATCTGTCTTAAAATAAGTCTTTCCTCTCCTCTTCTTTGGATCAAAAAGGCAAGGGGTATGGCCTTGATATGCTAGGAATGATATGGAAAATAAGGGAGAGAAAAACGGGCCTGGGTAGGAACTGTAGGAAAAGATCAGACATCCAAACAAATATATTACATATATAGATCTATAATATGTATAATCTCCATAAAACATATATTAAGGCATGTAAAGCAACATAAAGAGCCAGCTTTATGAAAAAAGAGGTGAGAGAGAGGTGGCAGAGGTGCAGACATTATTTCTTGGTATTTTACATGTATTTCTAAAAAATATTACTTTAAAAAAAAAAAAAAGACAGACAAAGCGGCAGGTGTGGAAGGCCCTGAAAAATCTGTTTCCTGTGGAGGGAGAAAGGCGTGGGGGAAAGAGGGAGAGAAGATGACCTGGGAGCCAATCCTACCTGCCAGTCTGCAGGGAAGAAAGGGCAGGTTTGGGGTGCTCGAACTGTGAAGATGGGAAATATAGCCAAGGGTCACATTTAAAAAACCTGCTAGAAGTGAAGATTGGTGGAATCCTCCCAGGCTGTAATCCCTCAGAAACATGAGAATATCCTAAGCACCTAGAACAGTGCCTGGTACATAAAAGGTGCTCAATAAATATTTGTTGAGTAAATTATCATCTTTACTTGCATATGAACCAGTAACTGTCCCAGCCATGAAGGAGTGGAGAGGAATTAGTAGGTGTTCTTGGGACCGCTGGAGGTCAGGCTGAAGCCTCTGGGTGGCAACTCTAGCAGAGTGAAGGCCTAGGGGCCATGGCATCTTCAGCTTCCCTCCTTCCTCCTCTCTGGCTACCTTCATCTCCAGGTGGGTGGAGCTGAGGAAGAGTGCGCTTTGCTCTTCTGTCTCTCCCCCACTGCCCTCCCTGGGCAGGTGGATCGTGAGAGCGCCTAGCCTCAGCCAGTCCTCGTCTGGGATGCCTGGGATGGGGGATGGTCCTGGAATCCTGGGAGGCCTCCCAGATTAAGGCCTCATCCCTCCTCCTCAAAGCATGTTCTCAGCTGGATCACTGCACATTCCAGGGGGAACAGGGCAAGAAATATCGCAGAACTGGGTAGGTAAGGCCCCAAGGCTGACCACACCCTATATAAGACAAGTCCTTCTCTCTGCCCCTTACCCCAGGACGGGGAGGCAGACACCAGACACAGAACTACCAACAGCCATCTCCCAGGCAGTTGCTACTCAATCCCCTTCACCCAGATCCCCACACCAAGCATCTCCACTGAGGCTGCCTGTGCTCCACTGGTGGGTCGTCCTGGGGATGAGGTAGGAGGAGCAGAGGAGACAGTCTGGCACTGCACTGGGCACTAACCTAAGGCTCCACCTGGGGAAACCAATCTGATACCCCTTTTCCATCTCCTTCCTTCCTGCTTGACTTGCCAATGTGTCCTGCTGCTTCCCCCTCCTCCCACTCTGAGGATCTCTCTCTCTCTCTCTTTCTCTTTCTGTCTCTCTCTCTCTGCTACCTTTCCCAACCTGCCCTCAGACACTGCACAGACCTGCTGTTCTCTAGCCACAACCAGCACTGTTCCCTCTGGGAGCCAATAGCCTCTCCCCATCTCTCATCACCTTGTCTTTGGCTCAAGCAGGGTGGTCAGTCTCCATTGGACCCCAGCGAGCACCCATAAGCAAAGCACTGGGTTTATCAAAGCCCTGGGTCCAGCTGAGGCAACCGGGTGGGACTGATGAGGATAGGGATGACGACAAGTGCTGTCCTCGGTGTCAGGCTGGCTCCAAGAGGCAGTGTCCATCTCCTCTTCACCTCTAGTCCTCACATAAGATAGCCACAGGTATGTTCTCCACCACGGCATGTCCCCCATCAGGGATTGTTCCACTGGATTCACCACAACCCCAACCAGGGCGAGGCCGAAGCTCCCTGTGACTTGGGCATTAACGAGGATGGTGCTCCCCACTGCCGTCTCAGGCCCTGGCTCAGGACCACGGTGTGAGTAGTGAGAGCTCCAGGGTTAGGCATAGTGGGTGTGTGGACACTGAGGTATCCACACTCCTCTCGGCAGCAGCCTGTCGCCCCAGCCTGGCTCCCTGCGGCATTCCCATGGGAGTGCAGGGGCAGGGGGCCAGGGTGGGGAGCCAGGACCTCAGGTGGGCAGCGGACAGCTTCAGAATGTGACTTTGTGGAGCTTCACAGCATTGGCCTCAGCCAGGGCTTGCACTGGAGAAAAGAGAAATGGGGTGAGAAGAGGGTTGCACAGAGGAGCAAGGACTCCAGCCAACCTTCCCAGGAGAAAGAAGCCTCATCCTGCAAAAACCTGGCAGAAACCCACTCCGGTCCCTCAACCCTGACAGGGGAACAAAGGAAAGGAAGTCAGTGTTCTTTTCTACTTGACTGAGAGTGAGCGGCTGTGGGCTAGGGGCAAGGGAAGTGTTCACAGCCTTTGGCTGTAGCTGTCAATGTTATTTTAAATTACAGTAAGATCTGGGAGTTGAGAAACAGCTTCTGAGGGCTGCTGAAGGTTTTGCATCTGTGTATCTCAACAGATGGAAAGCTTGTCAGCAGACAGGAGGCACAGGGGTGGGGTGTCAGGGGAGAGCCTTCCCTGAGAGCAGACAGATAAGGTCTCGGCTCCATTCCCTGCCTGCTTCTGGAGAAGCAAAGGCCATTGGCATCACAACATCCAAGAAGCGGCCCTGCCAGCCGGTTCCAGCCCAGCACTGCGTGGGGAAGCTGGATGGATGGATGGATGGATGGATGGATGGATGGGCGGATGGATAGTGGGGAGGAGCGGTACAGGGCACTGGGGTAGGGGAGAAGCAAAATGCCAAAATGAGAGGACACAGATGGCTCAATGGGGGTGAAGGAAGGGGCCCCACTCCCCAGGTGGATGAAATACAGTAGAAAAGTGCTTACGTCAGAGCTCAGACCCGCATGGTATGGCTGCTGTCGGCGCCCCGTGGGGATTCAGACGACAGGGGGTTGGCTGGAGGAGTCGGGGAAGCAGGGGAGGTGGGAGGGCTTGGGGTGGCACATTGCACTGGAAACAGAAATGAACAGGGAGGTGAATGGGGGTGGGTGGGGAAGGAGGGTGGGCACCCAGAGCAAGCGAGGCCCTCTCCAGGCGGGGAGCGAGGCAGGGAGGCAAGCAGAGAGAGAGCACTGAGCTTGGAGCTTGCTCAAGCTAGGCCAAGCTGTCCTCGTTCCCAGGGCATCGTGGAGGAGAGTGTGAGGCCCCAGAGGAGACCTGGCCGAATCTAGGCTCTGCTGAGAACCAGTGTGACTGTGGGTAAGGCCAGGCCCTCTCTGGGCCAAGGGCTCCCCTCCCATCCACACAATGGGGAGATTCCCACACCTCTCCGCGACTGTGCAGACGGAACCAGGGAGTGGTACTTTATATACCGCAGTGTCACTAACAATAATGATTAATAGTGCAGTAAAATCACACCAATCCAAACCATCTGGCCCCATTTAATGAACAGAAGTGAAGTGACCACCATGTTAATCAGTGCCATCAAAACAGAGATTTCTGATCAACTTAAAGCGAGTTCTGTTAACTTGGCACAGTCAAGGGCTCAGAAACATGTTCCCTGCTAACACTTGAGACCTCCTTTTCATCAGTCCAGTAAAGTCAAACTTCAGTCCACCCCTAAGCAAATCGAGACAAGCCTGAAATGACGTTTGAATTATTGAGATTTTACTCTATTATCATTATTATTCCATGTTAAGAATAGTAAAGTGGAAGGACAATGAGAAGGGAAGACTTAATACTGGGGACAAGCTCTATGCAGTCTCCAGACCCTCAGGCGTCCTCACTGTAGCTGCGAGGCAGGAGGATGGCAGAGACAACATCCTCGCTCAGGCTCACAAAGGAACCAGACCTCAGCCAGGGTCACACTGCATTTCCACCGAGAGAAGGGTCCCAACATTGAATTTCCCAGTCCCTCGTCCCCACCCTACCCTGGACCTCATCACCTTCCCTGCCGTCTGTGCAAGAGAAAGAGCCAAGGTGGCTACTCTCGTTACATATCTAATACACCTACATGTGCATAGAACACATGTAGCTCTCGCATGGATGTGAAGTTGTCTGCCTGTACACAATACAAAGTTTGTGCATGGGATCTGGCAACACCGTATCATTACACTCATTGCACACAGCTCACAATAAGCGTATTTGTGTACTTCCAAGCCTGCACCCTTCCATGTGACCTAACACTTGTAACTTCATGTGCAAATACACTCACAGACACTTTCAAACACACATTCGTGTGCATAGCCACATCACTGACCCAACGCTTAGTCATCTAGCAGTCTCGACTTCTAAAACAGCCAAGAAACCAAAAACACAGCAAAAGACATCTCCAGGAAGCCAACATAGAGGTTACAGTCTACAGGAAATGCAGTGAGGCTCTCAGAATTTACTCATAGGGACCTCTTGGAGTCCAGTTACTCTTATTGATACACAATTCTAATAAGTGTTGACTCGCTGGGTTTCTAGCCCAGGGGAGATTAGAAACAGGAAAATTCGAAGAGACAGAGGAATTGGGAGGCCCACTGACATCTATAAGAAAGCACGACTGAGGAGAGAAAATGTTTTGTAAAAAGCAGACATAACAGCTTTAAAAGAGTGACAGTTTGGGAACGTTTAGCATAGCTACAAACAGATCTATGTCCATTGTGGCCCTCAGGGCATTCCTTTAACAGAGGTCGGCAAAATAAAGATATTTATAATGTAATACATGAGCAAGAAAAGGTCACATGGAAACAGAACTTTGTTAAGAAGGCAGAAAAATACTAAATATATATTAGAAATATATCCATCAAAATAGTTAAAATTTGCATGTACTGCAGATGTGAATCACACATATGTGATATTATAAAGTGTGCAAAGTACCACATGCGTGCAGAAATGATCAGTCACACATACTCACATTCATGACACTGTACTTTCTCCCAGCCTGTGCACACAGACATAAGTTCACAATACTGCAATATATACACTGTACACAACACATACACAAATATGCTTTATCATTTCCCATACTGCAGAAAAGCCAATCACACATAAATACAAGCATTCATAAACACCACCTCCACCATTGTATTGTACACTCACATACATGTACATTTATGCTCCAACAGCTTACCATATACCACCTGGACTCATAATGGGTCTCCACACAACGTCCTTAGACATTTTACACAGATACACACATTGCTACATTTGTACTCAAACCTTTCCTCCATTCTCACACTGCACACTTGAATACACACAAATAAATGCATGTATCTACAAACATGACCAGATCCAGACACTGCACATGACATCCACGCCACACGTACAAACTCAAAAATGCCATAACTTCCCACATATTACATACCTGAGTCTGCACGCACCGGGTGGATTTGTAAGCACAACAGCATTCCTCACTGATTACTCTGTCCATGCCACACACCACACACGGGCACTGAACTCTACTCGCTGTACCCGATGCACACTATGCTCATGACCTGTGCCCAGCACTGCCACACACACAGTGTCCTGGGTGTGAACCTGTGCCCACATAGTGCATGCCCAGGACCAGCCTTGCTGTGCCTGGCAGAGCTGTAGCTCTGGGGAGCTGGGCCACAGGCCAGGGCTGGTGGGAACAGTGGGCTAAGTCTGAGGTCTGGCCCTGCCACAGCCATTTTTAAAATAGTTGGGGTTTTGGCAAAAGCAAGGTGACCGTTTGGTTTCAGCACACAGACCCTGACATGTAAGCCTGTGTGTATCAAGACAGAAATCGGAGAGGCCGGGTGGGTTTTGTTTTCATGGACCCTTTGGCTGAGGAACTGTAGTAGAGAGAGCCAGGGGCTGGGGCTGGGGCAGAGCGAAGTTTTTAAACCGGCCTGTCTCTCTAACCTCTTGAAACAGGAAGTTGCCTTTTGCCCAGAGCATGTGGAATCTGATCTTTGGAAGGTTCAAGTTCATTTTGGAGCTAAACTACAGGGAGGTTCAACAGAGGCCTGCTTCCTTGTGGCCAAACTGGTTTTGCTGCCTTTTGGCTGCAGGATGGGGCTCTCTGAAGCTATCGCTTCTCTTCCCCTTAACTCCAGCCTAAAGACAGCCTCTCCCTGAAATACCTCCAAGGGTCTCCCTGGACACCCATTCTAAAGTCCATTACACCCTAACTGGCAGAAGGTTCTTCATTAAGGCTTACTTAAATCCTCTTTGCCGTAGCTAAAATCTTCTGGTTTCTGAAAATATCCGTATTTAAAATAATTAGCAAAATGACAAACGGTTCTATTTCTGCTTCGTCTATTGCTATTTCAACTACTACTACCAGCATCACAGTGCTACTGCTACTGTCACCACTACTACGGCTTGCGAGCATGTATTGAGCACTTACTGAATGCCAGGCACTGTGCTAGGTGTTTGGCACACATTGTTTCCAATCCTCATACCACCAGAACTGGAGGCAGGAATTTTGATTTGAATTTCACAGATGAGGAAATGGAACCCCAGAGCACCAGAATTTGAATCCTCCTTAATCACCAACATGAAACGCCATCCCTTCCACTATGTTCCGAGCCACGGTTCTAACCTGCTTATGGCTTTTGCCTAGGCTATTGGAATTGCAGCCTGCACACCTGCTCTCGCCCCTCTGCCAATGTCATCTCCAACCACGGCTCCCCCTTCTGAGTCATTCCTCTTAACTGGCCTTCAAAGTTCTCACTCTCACTCTACCTCTCTATCCTAAACACCTTTATCTTGATGAAGGGAACAGTCTCCCAGGCTCCTTGACTTACCCACTGTCTCTCCTCTCCCTTTAACCCTCCCATTCATACAGAATCTCTTTCATTCTTAAAAGCTCAACTACATTTTCATCTATTCTGGGATGATGTCTCAGACTGAGCAGAAGCTGACCCTGTTGATCTCAACCCTATCAGCATCTAGTCAGGACCTGGTAGCCTTTGTATCAGTGTGAAGTCAGTTCTTCATAGTCATCTTTTCTTAGCAGAAAAGTGAGTTTGGATCAGTAGCCAAGGTGGTAATTGTATCGCTCTCAACTCTTTGGTTGCCTGCACCATCTTTTCTAAGATTCTTCCTATTTGCATGCAGCAAAAGCAGGAAATGAAAGGATACTCTGGAATACCTGGCCCTCTCCCTGCAACTGAGAAATATTTTTATCTTTCTCAGTCAAACTCAGTTATCATCTTTTCTCTGTGCCTTTCCCTGGCCTGCCCGGGCAGAATGGCTCCCCATGCTCTGCATGGCCTCTGGCCATTACTCCCTAAGGTGGCTGTAAGCATCATCCCGGCTCTGAGCTCCTGGATGCAGCAACTCTGGCCCCTTTGCACCTCCCTGAGCCTAGCACAGTACCTGGTGCTCAATAGATGCTCGTCTCAACCTCGAGGAGCATCTCCTCAGCCTTGTATCTCTTTGCTACTGCCCCCCTGGTAGCAGTGCTGCACTTCCTCCCCTAAACCTGGTCAGTTGGTTTCCCTGGCAGGGTGGAGCGAGGCCCAGCCCCTCTCACCAGACAGCATGCGGCCCCTGCGGGAGGCCTCGGTCGCCAGGGCGCAGGAGATTTCAATCCGCTTCTCCTGCTCCTGCAGCTGGCTCTCTGAGTCCTGGGGCACGTCCACAGAGTCCCCCTCGCCGATGGGCACCACGTTCTGCATACTGAAGAGGCACAGACACACAGAAATGGAGGGAGGGACAGGATGGTCCAAGTGGCTTCGGGGGGCCTGCGGACTGAGGTTGGCAGGGAGGGCCAGGGCCCCGTGAATGTGCAGTCTCTGGTTCCCAGCAAGGCTGTCCCTAGGAGTGAGTGGGACCCTGACAAAACACAGGTTGAGACCCCTACCCTCAATGTTCTCAAATGAATTAAAAGGTTCAAGTGAGCATTTAGGGCAGCCTTGAAGGGGAAAAGAAGTCACCAGAGGGCGAGCCTTCAGTTTTGTCTTGATGGTGTGATGTGCACGAGCCTGGCGGGTCTTACTAGCACCTGACAGCAGCATCCTTGCCTCTGCCGGTAGCTGGGCCCTGTCTGCTGCCTGGAGCCACCACCTCGATGTGCTCTCCCCTGGGGAGGCTCTGTGCCCCCAACAACTTCTAGTGGCCCAGGTGTCCTAGGTGCCAGGGTGGGCAGAGGAAGTAGAGGCTCACCCAGGCCGGTTACCTGGATTTGGCAATGAGTGTCTTGATCCTCTCCACCTTCTTCTGCTTCTCCTTCAACTCCTCAGGGCTCAGAGGAGTGTCAGGCTCCAGGTCAATGTACCGTTCGGGGATGAGGACTTTGTCTGGAGTGGAGAGCTATGGAGGGGCTGGGGTCACCACCTCTGTCCCTTCCCAGAGTCTCCCACTACAGCCCTTCCTGGCTCCACTCACCTCCTTATTGATGTCTACATCATAATGCTGGGGCTCTAGCTCCATTTTGCGAAGCCGGGCAATTTCCTCGCGGGGTGTCTCGTAGGCCTGCCCACCAGGCTCCTCTGCCCGCAGGGCTGCCTCCAGGTTGGAGATGTCCACCTCGTGGATGCTGCGGTGGCGGCGCACCTAGGGGACAGCAGCGTCACGATCGCACCATGGCTACCCATGCCTCCAGGCAGCCCTAGCCATGCCCTGTCCTCGCTTTCCCTTCCCAGCTCGCCTGATCTAGCTGCCACCCCACTGCTCCCACTGCACCCTACTGCAGAACTATCCTCTTTCCTTTCTACTGACCCAAAGCCTGCCCACCTGCCAGGCCCCAGAGGCAACATCTCATCAACATCTCTTGTCAGTTCTTGCTGTTCCCCATCCTGCTGTACCCTGGATTCACATTCTTCGCTATATAATTTGGGCAGTTGAGTTAGTGTGACTTGTATTGATTTCTTCTTTTGATTTTTTAAGAAACAGGGTGTTGCTGTCGCTCCAGCTGGAGTACAGCCACAGAATCATAGCTCGCTGCAATCTCAAACTCCTGGCCTTGAGTCCTCCCATCCCAGCCTCCTCCCAAGTAGCTGGGACTATAGATGCATCCACCATGCCCAGCTACTTGTTAAACATGTTTTTATAGAGACAGAGTCTTGTTTTGTTGTCAGGCTGGTCTCAGACTCCTGGCCTCAAGTGATCTTTCCACCTCGGTCTCCCAAAGTGCTAGGATTACTTGCATGAGGAGCCAACCACACCCAGCTAACTTCTGATGATTTCATACTACAGAAGTCCTAATCCATCAACTAGAATGTAAGCTGTTGAGGACAGGACTTATGAGTCATAATTTTTCCATATTTCTAAAATCTAATGGAAAGAAAAGTTAAGTAATGTCTTGGGCTACATCCAGCTCTGTACTTAATAGAGCTGTGTAGCCCAGGAATCCTTTAATTTCTCCTCACTTTGTTTCCCCATCTGCAAAATAGGATAATAATTCCTAACCCAATGTTGCTAAAAGGATTAAATGAAATAACATGAAAGGGATTTGTGGATTATATTGTGCCATGTGACGGTGAGCTATTATGATTATCTTCATCGCAGCCAGCCCAATGCTAGGCACAGAGGAGATGCTCCAGAAACGTGCGTAAGTGGCAGCTATTTCTGTGTGGTGAATTCTGTACTATTCTCTATTAAGTGAATTTTGTATAATTCATTTCAACAAAAATAATTAAGGCATTCCTTTTTGTGAGTTATTTTCTTTAAACAAGAAAAAGTCAACACTTGAAGGACTCTTCTGCCGGTGGGAGAGAGGACTCTCTGGCTCTCCCAGGTGCCCAGCTTGGGTTCTTTCCCCTCTCCTTCCTCTCAAACCCCCCAGGCCCCGGCTGGCCATGCCCTGGGAGTAGGAAGTGTTGGCAGATGCCAGGCTTATGCCTGTGGGTAGCTGGGAAGGCATTACCACTTTGTAGGCTGGCCGGGGACTGGGGTCGGGGGCCGGGCTGGCCGGGAGCTGCAGGCTTCTCCGCTTCTCCTTCATGGAGCCACTCTGGTGCCGCCGCATTCGGTCAATCTGCTCCTCCACACTCATCTTGACCTTCCCCTCGCCAGGGAACACAGCACTCTTGGGGCGTTCCTGCTGCCATGGGAAAACAGGGCTCTGACAAGTGCCTTATCCCCCACCCAGATTTTCCATCCTGAACCCTTAACATTTACCTTCTACGGGAAGTCTGCCTGTAGTGGGCTGAAGAGTGGTCCCCAAAAGATATGTCCAAGAACTGACCCCAGGTACCTGAGAGTGTAACTTTATTTAGAAATATGAGATCATCCTGAATTAGAGTGGGCCCTAAATCCAATGGTGTGTCCTCATAAGAGACAGAAAAGAAGATGACATGCCGAGTAGAGGTGACATGAAGAGGGAGGCAGAGATCAAAGTGGTTCATTTACTCAGAAAGGAATGCCAAGGATTGCCAGCAATACCCAGAAGTTAGGAGAGAAGCCTAGGACAGGTTCTCCCTCACGGCCTCCAAAAGGAGCCAACTGTGCCACTACCTGGATTTTGGGCTTGTGGCCATAAGAGCATACGCTTCTACTGTTTTAGATCACCCTGTGTGTGGTGATTTTTCACAGCAGTCCGAGGAAACTAACACAGATTTTGGTACTGGGAAAGGGGTGCTGCTATAACACATAGCTAAAAATGTGGTAGAGATTTTGTAATTGGCTAACGGGTAAAGGTTGGGAGAATTTCAAGGTATATAATAGAAAAAGTCTAGTGGATTTCCTTGAAGAGATGACTGGCAGAAATATGAACTTTAAGGGTGATTCTGGTGAGGGCTCAGAGGAAGTGAACAGCATAGAAAAGAAAGCTTCTATTGCCCTAGAAAATACAGTTATGCCTCGGTATCCCAGGGGACTGGTCCGAGGATCCTGATGGATAGCAAAAGTCATGAACGCTCAAATCTCTGCTATAAAATGGCATAGATGTGCATATAACCTACACATATCCTCCAGTATACTTTAAATCACCTTTAGATTACTTAAAATACCTAATACAATGTAAATTGCTATGTAACTAGTTGTTATCCTGTATTGTTGGTTTTTTTACTTTTTCTTTCTTTCTTTTTTTTTTTTTTTTTTTTCTGAAATGGGGTCTTGCTCTGTCACCCAGGCTGGAGTGCAGTGGTGCAATCATAGCTCACCACAGCCTCGAATTCCTGGGTTCAAGCAATCTTCCTGCATCAGCCTTCCAAGTAGCTGGGACTACAGACACATGCCACTGCACCTGACTAATTTTTAAATTATTATTTGTAGAGATGAGGTCTTGCTTTGTTGCCCAAGCTGTTTTCAAACCCTTAGCTTCAAGCAATCCTCTTGTCCCCAAGTGCTGGGATTATTGGCATGAGCCACCACGCCTGGCCTGTATTGCTTTTTATTATTTTATTTTTACTGTTTTATTGTTTTTTATTATTTTTCTCCCCTGAATATTTTTGATCTGTGGTGGCTGAATCCACAGATGTGGAACCCAGAGATATGGAGGGCCCATCGTATATATATCATGAATGGAATGCTGGTAGAAATATGAATGTTAAAGATGCTTCTGGTAAGGTCTCAGAAGGAAATAAGAAACGTGTTATTAGAAACGGAAGAAAAGCCATCTTTATTATAAAGTGGCAGAAATGTGAATGTATTGTTTTCTACTGCTGAGTGGAAACAGAACTTGAAGGCTATAATGAACTTAGATATTTAGCTGAGGAGATTTCCAAACAAAGTGTTGAAGGTGTGGTTTGGTTTCTATTTGTACTTATAGGAAAATTATAGAGAAGATAAATTGAGAAAATAACTGTTAAGCCAAGAGAAACCAGCACTTTTTTATTTGGGAGGTTCTCAGCCTACCTAGTTCACAAAGGATGCTGAAGTTAGGAAACTCATCATAGGAAGAGTGTGTCCTAGAGAGAGGGTCAAGGATGTGGCTGGACAACATTTTGCTAAAGAGATTAGGTATGTCTCATGAACTCAGTCGACCATCCCAGAAGAAGCCAGAAATAGAGATGGAGTTATCTAGAATGGATACCCTTGAAATACAAAGGGGGCCTACAGAGTTTTTGAGACTGTTATATATGCAGAAACACTGCTAGCTTGTACAGAAAGGGACAGAGATAAGATGAAATGAAAATAGCTGTGAGACTTCTGGGATTCTACAGGCAGGAAATAGGCTAATATAGGTAGTTAGCTACACACACATGCTAACCTTCAAGGAAAAGCAAGAATGACTCAGAACAAAGCCGTGGATGCAGAGGCAGGGTCCAAAGAGGCAGGGTTCAAAGAAGCAGGCCTAGAGGCAGGGGCTGATGGAGCCTCTGTGGACCCAGAGGGCAGGGAAGTGAGTCACAGAGGATTATTCTCAGGCCTTGAAAACTAATAGAATTTTCCCTGCTGGATTTCAAACTTGCTTGGAATGGTGACCCCTTTGTTCCTTCCAATTTCTCCTTGTTGGGACAGCAATGACTTACTTTTTAAAAATTTTTATTTTTTAAAATTTATTTTTAAAATAGAGATAGGGTCTCAGTATGTTGCCCAGGCTGGTCTCAAACTTCTGGGCTCAAGTGATCCTCCTGCCTCAGCCTCCCAAAGTGTTGGGATTATAGGCGTAAGCCACCACACCTGGCCAGGAATGACTTACTTATGCCTCTCCTCCAGCACTGTATTTTGAAAGCAGATTAATTTATTTTTTCTTTCTTTCTTTCTTTGTTTTTTTGTTTGTTTGTTTGTTTTATCTTGTTCTGTTGTCCAGGCTAAAGTGCAGTGGCATGACCACAGCTCACTGCAGCCTCAACCTCCAGGGTTCAGACAATCTTCTAGCCTAAGCCTCCTGGAGCAGGAGGCATGCAACACCACATCTGGCTAATTTTTTTTTTTTTTTTTTTTTGAGATGGAATCTCGCTCTGTCACCCAGGCTGGAACACAGTGGCATGATCTCAGCTCACTGCAAACTCTGCCTCCCAGGTTCAAGCAATTCTCTTGCCTCAGACTCCTGAGTAGCTGAGATTACAGACGTGCCACCATGCCCAGCTAATTTTTGTATTTTTAGTAGGGACGTGGTTTCACCATGTTGGCCAGGCTGGTCTTTAACTCTTGACCTCAGATGATCCACCCGCCTAGGCCTCCCAAAGTGTTGGGATTACAGGTGTGAGCCACTGCACCCAACCCATCAGCTAATTTTTAATTTTTTTTGTAGAGGCAGGGTCTCACTATGTTGTCCAGACTGGTCTCAAACTCCTGGGCTCAAGTGATCCTCCTGCCTTGATCTCTCAAAGTGCTGGGACTACAGGAGTGATCCACTGCACCTGGCCAATTAATTTGTTTTCTAGTTTTACAAATGGAGAGATTTTGCCCCAAAATGGATTGTACCTAGAGTTTCACGCATACCAGATGGAGATGATTTAGATGATGAGATTTGGGACTTCTGAGCTGATGATATTTCAATGACATTTTAAGCTTAGGATGCAGTCATGGACTGAGGCTTTTGGGAATGTTGGTTAGGTGAATGTATATTGCAAGTGAAATGGGCATGAAATTTGGGTATCATAGAGTGGACTGAAGTTGTTGAATACTACCCCCAAAAGAGATGTCCAAGTCCTAGCCCCAAATACCTGTGACTGTAACCTTATCTGGAAATAGATCTCTGCAGATGTAATTAAGAATCTCAAGATGAGATAATCCTGGATGAGGGTGGGCCCTAAATTCAATGATGGGTATCCTTATATGGGACAGGAAAGAAGACACACAGAAAAGGAGGTGATGTGAAGATGGAGGCAGAGATTTGGTTGATGCATCTACAACCCAAGGAATGCCAAGAGTTACCAGGAACCACCATAAGCCAGGAGAAAGGCATGAAACAGATTGTGTTTCAGTGTCTCCAAAGGAACCAACCCTGCTGGCACCTTGATTTTGGACTTCTAGCCTCCATGACTGTGACAAAATGTTTCCATTGTTTTAAAGCTCCTGGTTTGTGGTAATTTGTTAACTCCTGGCAGCCCTAGGAAATTCACACTGCCTTGGGTCAGCACATTTGACTCTGAACACTGACTTTTGTTGCTTTCCCTGCTTTGTATTTCATCAATAGCATAGTATGATAATTTTGTAAAATACTCTTTTATATTTTTTATTCATATGTGGTGGTTAACACTGAGCATCAACTTGACTGGATTGAAGGATACAAAGTATTGATTCTGGGTGTGTCTGTGAGGGTGTTGCCAAAAGAGATTTGCATTTCAGTCAGCAGACTGGGGAAGGCAGATCCACCCTTAATCTGGTGGGCACAATCTAATCAGCTGCCAGTGAATATAAAGCAGGCGGAAAAACGTGAAAAGGAGAGATTGGCCTAGCCTCCCAGCCTACATCTTTCTCCCATGCTGGATGCTTCCTGCTGTCCAACATCGAACTGAAGTTCTTCAGTTTTGGGACTCGGACTGGCTCTCCTTGCTCCTCAGCTTGCAGGCAGCCTATTGTGGGACCTTGGGATCATGTAAGTTAATACTTAATAAACTCCCCTTTATACATATAAATAAATATATATATGTATATATCCTATTAGTTCTGTCCCTCTAGAGTACCCTAACTAATACAGATTTTGGTATTAAGGATGGAGTTCTTTCATTGGTTTTGGGGCTTCTGGAGTTGGCTGCTTAGTATGATTAGACCCAAAAATGCTAAGGACTCTACTTCTAATAGTATGGAGAACACTGATAGTCTTTGGCATGAACTGTTCAGAGTGTTATGCAAAATAAATGCATTTGACACTCTTGATTCATGGTTCGTTGAGAGGCAAGGAGTTTAGTGACTCCACATAATACCTCTGACCATATGTGGAGAACCAAGGAACATAGTGAAGCTGGTTGGTTGCTCCTAAGTTCAGTAGACAGTGATGAAAGAAAATGATGAATTCAGGGATTGTATCTCCCAGCTTCAGAGGCAGATACTGAGCCTCAAATATGCTAAGACTGTCCTGAGTTAGAGTCTTATCTCCTATAGAGAAAGAGCTGAAATTGTGTAAAAACAGACATAAGCTCTTATCATGTGAGTGGCTGACCTGCAATGAAAGATGCATGCACAGCCTTGTCAGGTGTCTACTATTAAAGT